AGCTGGAGCCCGTGCGGACATCCACTGTGGAGCGTCACACGCGAGGGCGGAAAGCAGGGGACGCAGCCGAGGAGCAGGGCCCGGCCCCCCGCATGGGGAGGGCACAGCCCACCCAGAGGGCGGACCCTCAGCCGGGGCCGGGGACGGCAGGCGGCGACAGGCAAGGCATCTCGGCCCCATCGTCATGGTGTCAACAAAGCCAAACCCCCGGGGGGAGCTTCGGGCTGAAATACGGCCTCACGACCTACAAAATTGTCCCCCCAAAGTCAGAGATGAGGTGTTATGACAGGGGGGCATCTCTGTCGACGGGCGCCATCAAGATCGACGAGCTGGGGAACCTGGTGAGCCCCCACACGTCTGGAAGCAGGACCATAGCCCTGCCGGCATCGACCCTTGATAAAGAACCCCAACCCATGGGGAAAATCAGAGGGTTCTGGAGGTGCAGCTCAGAGGAGAAGCAGCCCGGCCAGCCCACGGAGCGCCCGGTCGGGGGGGTCCCTACCCCCACCCCACCAGCAGAGTGGCAGAACCAAGACAGCAGGCTCCAAGCAGAGCCCACCTCCCCGGACCCCAAAGTGGCATCGCCCCAGCAGCAGGCCACCCACCAAGGAGGGGGGAGACACCTGGGAGAGGGGGTGAGCCGGCCACCCACAGCAGCCGCTTGTCACGTGAAGGTGCCAGCAGCCAACACCGCGCAGGTCCCGTTTCTCAAGCCTCAGAGAAGAACGTCCAGTCAGTACGTGGCCTCTGCCATCGCCAAGCGGATCGGGCCTCCTACAGCCCACGCCGGGCAGACCCGTGCGGGCAAAGTGCCAGAGCTGGCGGGGCGGCCTAGATGGAGCCGCCCCCAGCCCATGCCCAGGGTCACACGGACGCGAGCATGAGGCCAAGCCCCCCTGCGGTCATCCTGCCCACACCAATGGGGAGGAGTCAGCGGAGGGAGCCCATTCCCGGGGGCAGCTCAGCAGCCCCCGCGGCACGCCCTCGGCTCCAGACTGTCCCGCTGGCGTCCACCGAAGTCCCTGCGTCCCACTTGCCACAGCTTCCCAGAGGGATCACATTTCCGCGGGACAGAGCTCCGGTCTCAATGGAAAGCAAAGCACGAGCAGCCACAGGACCAGCACGGCATCCGACCCCAAGCGCACGCCAGACAGCCCCAGCCCCCCGCCGCCGCGCTCGGGAGATGGCAGAGCCCTGGCACACGGCTCCGGTTGGGTCCTCGTCCCCAGCCAGCCTCCTCGCTGTCCAGCAGGGTCCAGCACGAGCAGCCCCACTGTCCCGGGGTGGAAAGAGAAGCCCAGCGTGCTCTGCACAGACGCATGTGATGCCGATTGTGCGCCCAGCGTCTTTGGGCCAAAGAAGAAGTTCAGACCTGTCGTCCAGCGGCCAGCACCCAAAGACACCTCCCTGCACAGCGCCCTGATGGCGGCCATCCACTCGGCAGGAGGCGGGCACAGCCTGCGCAAGGTGACCAAGGCGCCCACCTGGGGGCAAGGGCGGGCCCCCCACACCTGTCGGTCCCTGTGTGGCACTGGGGGGGCGTGCTGGGGGCGAGGCTGTGGAGGAGGGGGTGCACGGCTCCCGTGTCCCTGCTCTCAGTGGGAAGAACCACCGAGGACGGAGCTGGTGCGGGTGGGGGTGGGGGTGGGCGTGCCCACTGGGCCTCGGCGCCCTGCCTGTCCCCGGGGAAGATGTCACCAGTAAGTGGCCCGGGGAGCGGCCAGCGGGATGCGTCCTCTGTGGCTGATCCTTGATCGTAGAGGGAGGAGTGGACGGTCAGGCCGGGCCACTCCGGCCAGACGTTCTTCAATAACGACAGGCTGTTTCAGGGCCCCCCTCCCCATCTGGGCACTTAGCGCATCACAAACATGGCGTCATTTCATTGCTACGCCACACAAAACTGTCCCTCCAAAGGCAGAGACGAGGTGTGAGGACAGGATGGCCGGTGAGGTGGACGTCTGGAGTCTGGCGCGTCCCCATGCGGGGACGGGACCGTGTTCTCCGTCGTGTACTTGAGACAGAGGCACGGTCAGGCCCAGCGACCTGGCTCAAGGTCACCCCTGCCAGCTGGCGGGGGCTCAAGACTCTCAGTCAGGTCCATGGGACTGAAAGCTCCTGTCCGTCCTGGGAAGCCAGGACCAGTAGCAGAAGTGACAGGACACGAGGCCATGATCTGATGTCACCCCATGGCGGGAGGTCACTTCAGAAGCTTTGACACGCACCGTCTCATGGCGGGGGCTGGGAGCACGGCCCTGCGGTCCTCAGCCAGGCCTTCCAGGGAGCCATCCTGTCCCCTGAGTGACGTGGCTGGCACTGTCTGTGTTCCAGACCGCAGGGCACAGCCCAGAAGGAGGGCCGAAGAAGCCGCCCCCCACCGAGGCAGAGAGCGAGCACTCGGCCCTGCTTGCGTCCATCCGAGGTCACCGTGGAGCCTGCAGCCTGCGGAAGGTAGGATGGGAAGGCCGGGGGCCCCGGGGGTGGCCTGGGCACCCAGAAAACCCCCTCCCTGCCCACGCCCGCCCAGCACTGAGCACTGTCCGGGTTCCCGGGGCACCCAGCATGGCTGCAGGGCTCGGGCCGTGCCGGAGGCGACCGAGCCCCGGCCCACGTGGAATTGCGTTCAGGGACGCAAGGGCGTCCCCAGCTCCCACAGCCGGGGCCCGGGAGCAGCGTGATGGGTGCCCACGCCGCGCGTCTCCGGCCCGTCGACATCCGGCTCCAGTGCTTCTCCGGGCTGGTCCCCGATATGGGCAGGAGCAGGACGGGCGGGTCTCGGGCACGGGGCCCCTGCACCCTGCCTGGGGTCA